ATCTGGAAATTCTTGTTCTATACTTTTCTTGATATGACAACTGGCGTTGTAACATTACTGTATGAAGCATCTTCACATATAAAAGAACATGTTTATTTAATTACAACTCTCGACTGTTGAATTTAATGTCAACTACATTGGTCATCCTTAGGCAAAGCATCCTTTCCTGTCTTAATAAATGTATTCAATTTATTCATTGGTTTATAAGCTATATTAAAACCGTACATATGAGAAAGTTTTTTAAATTTTTCCGAAACTTTGCCCAAATATGGTAACGTGAAAAATTTTTTAGAAGTAACATTAGAGTCACATTCATTATTAATTTCTTTAAGATTTTTATCTAAATTAGTTCTGTTTTCCAACGTTTTAATTCTATTATTTATTGTAGAAAATATAAACTTTAAAGGATAACCATTACTTAGAAACGTGTGAATTAATTCAGAGATGTTTTTTTCATGAAATATAGGATGGGATAAGAATAGACTTCTATCAAATTGCCCAATAATAACTCCCCTTTTTCTAACGGATGATTCGAAAAATAATTCAGATATCTCCCAGAATTGGTAGGTTTTTTATAAATATCGAAGATGATATTTCCTTCCTGTCTCATTAATTTAACATCTAGGAAATGTATGCCGTTATCATCGCCAAAGTCCACAGTAAAAAGTCCACAGTAATTTTCCTCTTCTAAAAAAGGATGTCTCTTTCTGTTAATAAACAATTCTAGAACTTTCTAGAAATTTTGACTCAGATATATAAATAGTGGTAAAATATATGACACAAAAAATCACGACAAAATTCTAACTGTGTAAAAGAAATATTCGAGATTCATCGTTTGGTTTTTTTGCTGTAAAACAGGTAATGATTCTTTTTCTTTATATTCTGACTAGAAGATTTTAATATATACAATTTTATTTAGAATCAGGAAATTCTTGTTCTACACTTTTCTTGATATGACAATTGACCGTGTAACATTACTGCATGAAGCAAGCATCTTCACATACAAAAGAACATGTTTATTTAATTACAACTCTCGACTGTTGAATTTAATGTCAACTAGATGTAACTCTGCGTTTTAAGAATATTATTGAATTACTGAAGATGGCCAGATTGTGGCCGAAACGTTTAATGTTTTAATGAATGTAATAATTAAATATCACAAACTATAACTTGTGCTGTGGTTCTTTCTTTTTAAGCTTTCAATCTTAATTTCATAAACTCATTGTCAGTATTGTTTGTGTATATAAAACGCTGAACTGTCGTTTTATCCATAGGAGCTATACAAACTTTTGTATTAAGAAAACATCTACGTCAGATAACAGCTTTATGAGTTGAAAAAATGTAAGTTTTGAACTATTTTTTTTTTCGATTTTAGTATAAAGTCTACTGCAGCACCACCAAATTTTGTGTCTACTTTAATTCTGTTAAAAAAGGATTTTTTATTCCGTTCAGTAAATTCGGAGAATTATATCGATCTGCAATGTCTCCACAGTTCCTTAGTTTTGGTCACTCCAGCATCCCCTTAACTTAATAAAAAATTAAAAGTCGTTGAATTATTTTGTTTCTTAAGGATGTATCAGAGTTTTACAATCTCTCCAAAAAATGACGAACTAGAAATTTATAGTTTCCATATAAAAATGAATATTATACGTATTTATAATTCAATGAATGAAAGAGAGAGGGAAGGGCGAAGGGGGTAGCAAGGAGAGAGAGAAAGAGGGGGGGAGAGGAAGGGAGGTCAATATTTAAATTTAACAATACTATTTTATAATTTAAGTGAAAATTTTCGCATTTCATTTTGATTACAATATTTTTTAAAAACGTGTCTGCTTTTTATTGAAATAATATTTGAACTAGATTTTAAATATAACCACACTTTTCACACTTTTTGTATTACTTTCAAATATAATGTAGAAAATCATTTTTTTATTTTTTTAAAAAATATAATACATTCTTAAATGTAAAACCTCAAATAGTATACTATTTGTCTCATTTTCTGAAACCATGAATCCATATGCTAATTATGAGCAGAATGATATTTCAATCAATGGTATTTCGGCTAAACCGGAATGATATCTTGATTAAGCATTATTATCTATTATCTTATTATATCAGAATTTCTTCTATATGTGTTTCCAATGTGATATCGAGGGATAAGTATGGCGTCGGCGGAAATTTCCGGGCTCGAACGCGTGGCTACTGCAAGATCCGTTTGCCATATTATTTCGGGAGAAAGCCCAAGTATTTTTGTTGCTAAAACAAATGTAGCAGCTTGGGCGAACGATGACTTTATTCTAGTATACGGCATCAAGGATGGTGAAGAGCGTGCCGAACGCTGCTCTTGAAGGATCTACTCAACACTAGTTCGAGTACGCGTGTACTTAATACGCAAGAGTGTTCTTGTTGCTCTCAATAGTAACTTTGAAGGAGCGTTATCTCACGCACTATGTTTATTAGTTGAATATACGCTGATATACCTTCATATTTTTTGACGGCTTCTTGAAAAATGAATGTCTACTTTTAATTAACACCTAATGAAAATTGGCTTCTTTATTTACTTTCTTATTATCTCAGTACCCCATTTCTGTAATTCTTAATAATAATTTGATATCATTACATTGTTTTGCAATTTTTTTTCATATATAAATCTATGTAACAATTATGGCCTGGTTCCACCAATGCAATGTAAGATTAGCTTTAACTCGGTCCAACTTATTTTTTATCTTTTTCTAATTTTAATGCCCCTTTTTACCAATATAGTTTAATTTTAATTTCGGTTCAATCAATTGTTTATTCTGAAAATTAGATGAAGAGTAAGTTAAACTAAGATTAAAGTTAATCTACATTGGTAGAAATGGGCCTAGATCTGTTTGCGTTGCTTTTCACATCCAAAATCTTCGCTTTTTTTTTTTTTTTCAATGTCCGAATATACATTTTTCTCGTTTTAAATTTTTATGGATTTTAAACATGAACAAAACTAATATAATGAGATATTAGCATTGTTGTTAAGAGTTACAGACTCATGATACTGGAGTCATCTTCGAATGAATAATCGTAAATTGTTAGCGTTTTCAGTATTCTCGATAAGCTCATTATGGACGAGACGGAAATGCAGATGCATTTTGCGATGCACAGTTGTTTTATTACCTGCTCGATTATTCTGGTCTAGAAACGGAATAAATGCGCCGCTTTCCGTGCGATCAATTGGTATTTATGCATAAATATTAAAAGTAATTGATTTCATAGACGTATCAGCTATAAAATTAATGAGAAACGGACGACCGCCTCTAGAAAACGGGGTACCATACACTGTCGTTTGTTCATTGCGAGACATCTCCGATTACTGACAAAATGATAATTAACCTACACGTGGATAAGTATGTATTACAATCTTTTTCTATGACATGTTCGAGAATGGGAAACGTCTACTTAAGAGAATAATCCGACATATATGCGACGATATATGCGGTTACTATTTCGATATGTATATTTTTGTTGTACTATACTCACAGTACTATTAATTTTTTTATTAATTTTTTTATATATTTGCTTATTAATTTTGCAAATTACATCATTTTATAATATTTTATAATATTTATTATTTATTATACATTGTAATTACAATAAATAATTGACTTAAAAAATGATAACTCTTAAAATACCATTTTTTGTGCATTAAAAAAATCTTTAAATTTTTTATGAGAAGATAAAGAGAAATTGCTTATGCAGAATGTCTACTACCTAAAAAAAACCTGAAATTTTTAGAAGACTTCTTTTTTATCCTTGAAAATGAGAGATTTTTATGGAACTTTATCAGCATAAAAAAATTTTTGGAATTTTACTTATTTCTGTTTCTTTCTGATCATATTGTCTTGCTAATGCAAAATGTTGACAATCGGTTAAGCAATAATGGCATACATATCCGTGTATATTCACGATTATATTTGCATATCTCGCGCGCGAATTTAAAAAAAAAGGCGAGATAAGTATAAGACAATATTCAGCAAAAGAGTGTAGCTTACTAATATTATATTGTGAATATTTTCCATTGTTCTATAAGTTTCATTGGTCCAATTGTAGAAAATATAGATATACAAGTATCTCGTGGAATTCTTATCTTCTATTAATTTAGTATATAATTTGTTTTCATTACTTGCACTCCTATTAGGTGTTGGAATTAATTCGTAGCGTTTTACAAGTGATGGGAAGTACTTTTATTAATGTATTTTTTAATGCTCATGTGAAATAAATAACATTCTTTCATTAAAAAACGCTACGAATTAATTCCAACACCTAATATATTTTGAAGTTGCATTTAAAACATCGTTTAATCTTATCTGGAATTTTGAACAAAATACCTGGAAAATCCATTAATTCTCAGAGAATGTTATTTTAAAGAGTTTTTCAGTAAACACTCTGTTGTATTATTTTTAATATCCGAATAAGGATTAAATAATAATTAAATTCTAGTCTCAAATGAGTACGATAATCTAGTGTTTTCCTATTTTCTTGATAACAGAATCAAGAAAAGGCGTGTTAGATAACGCGCGTCTAACCATGAATAAATCGCATTATCGCATGTAAGGAGAGCAACGATATAGCAATATGCCATTCCTTTTTTTCTTACACGTGGCAACTCATTGTCAGCTCGAATTAGCTCCTATAATTTCAAGGTTGTGTAACAATGAAAAGGATATAATTTGTAAGTTGATGTTAATTGCGATACTAAAACATATTTTTATCGATATAAACAAGTATAATTTTTCCAGAATATTATATTTTAAATAATAAAAATGATGAATTTTACTACAAGATTCACTTGTTATTGTAACGATCAATCTCTAGTTGAAAAGTTTCTAAAAACCAGACTACAAGGGACGATTAGCGATGTCGTAACGTTCTCATTGCGAATAATTCAAATGCAGTCTTCCACATCGTTATTCTTTTGATCTTTTATCCGTGCATGGATTTTGATGACAGGATTGATGATTTCCTTGCAGAATTTCGTTACAACTGCAAACAAGACGTAGCGATTACATCGAAGAAGAAGAAGACTTTAAACGTCAAAGCTGTGTCGCGGAAAGAATGCCTATCGTGTCTTGCGAAAAGTAAAATTTTTGTAAATCGAAATTTTCGTGACTCGTTTGGAACACCGAGATAAGTCTCAACGAAATTTTCTCACATTTTCTGGTTACTTACCACGGTGGCGAACAATTGCACTCGTTCTATCGGGTGAAAGACGTACGCTTGGGTTGTACACAGCATCGTCGGATGTTTAGACCCTACGGGAGAATGTCGATTGGACAACCGAGTCAGTCGGGTTATCAGAACAGTCGAGAGAAGCAGTCGAGTGGTAGGAACGGTGGTGGTGCGGTGACCAGATACAGCAGAATTTGGATCGTGAGATGTCATTAATGCTGCCGGACTAATGCGGCCCCGCGATGATCGACGGGGACGAGAAGACGGTGGTGGCCCCCAGGTGGAAGAACTATGTAAGAGACGAAGCGCGAAGCGGGGGAGAGGACGAGGTCGTCGTCTCTCCACCGGCAGCAGCGTGGCTCAGGTGCCAGAAGGTGGCAGAAGAGGTTGGCCTTATAGAGGGTTTATAGTTTGCGTAGGATAGACGATGAGCGTCGAGGTCGACACGCTGGAACTCGAGGTCTTCGAGGTGAGTCCTCAATCCCTCTCGAGGATGCGACGAACGGGAGTCGCGCGAAATACACGTCGTAAAAAGAAGCGGTTATATCTCCGTTAACAGAGAGATCGTGCTCGAGAAAATACGGAATACTCGACGATTGTATTGCCGAGCGATCACTGGCGAAATTTTAATCCACGTACCTATCCGGACAAAGTAATTGCTTAACATTTCGTTACCATTTTATGTGATGTTTCCGATTAAAGGAGAAATCTGGGATTTTCCTTTTCATTAAAACAATTTAAAAAACAAGCAGAACATTTTTTTAATATATTATTTTAGACCTTTAAGATTTTTTTATATTAACAGCAATCAATCTTTATTGTTTAAGTTTTTAATTAAATATAGATGACACGACATTTCTCATAAAAATAGATTGTCTTGTGTCTGACCTGCAAGTTCATATTAGCAAGCAGGAGCTTACATCTAATTTTGTAGTTACATAATTTAAGTATAAGTGGCAATAATAACGCACTGCAGCGTAATCACAATTATAATGTTGCCTGTTGTGTAACATAATATGCTAAGAAGCTAAGTATGATCTCCAGTAGATATGTAATGTAAAGTTAGATTTTTCAAAAACATTAAAAAATTATTTCTATTAAACGTAATTTAATAATTTTTTTCTTTTACAATAACATAATGATGTATGATTCTGCTTTTTTTCTGATATAACGCACAAAATATGCGTTTTAATTTCGTCCGATATCGAATCGAAAACAATGCTTGGAAGGACAATTTGACTTCCTGAGTACACAACAACGAGACTGAAAAGTTACGTAATTTTCGATATTATGCAATGGACTTCCGTTCGCTAGCCCGCGTTCCGTTTGACAAGTAATGCGCTTTGAATGTGACTTTATCGATGCGAATGAGCTATTACCGTGAAACATATATAGATTTGTCAAGTTTTTTGATTAACATAGACGCATTCCTATCCTTATTCATTTTTTATTCCCATAGTGATTGTATTATTCATACTCGACATTCATATACTTGTCCAGACAGAGAAAAAGTTTTTAAAGATAATTGATTAGTCTTATCATGGCGATATATCTACTCGTAAATGTTTTATGGAAATTATGTGCACGCGAATTCTCAGCTAGACAAAATATAATATTTATATAAAATATATATAAAGCTAAAATTATATGGACACACTCAACACACACGCACATTTGTATTTTATAATAAAATAATTTTTTAAATCTATAATTCCTTAGTGAGTGAAACATTTGACTTCACTAATCGATATTCTGTTACACTTTCTCGAATGCAAGTTTAATCTTGTTACATGTGAAATTGCCATCGCGTGTAGCTTAAAACCAGCTTGCAAGAGTAAATTGGAGCATTTGAGCCAATCGGTCGAAACATTTGTACAGTTTGGTCAAGCGAGCTCCATACATATTTTGAATTATTATAGAAGATTTCAATATGATTTCACACAATTAAAATGTAAAATGACGTGAATGCTACAAAAATAGAATAGAATCAAAAATATTTCTTATAACTCAAGATATGGAGTAATAAAGAGATAATTATGATTAGATTTTTATTCTTTTAAGATTAGAATTTTAATTTTCTAGAATTATAAAAATACGAAATCATTCGCTGTTTTGCTATTTGCGCTTATATGTATACTTGGAGAACAATATGTCCGAAATATGGACATAACATGTCTTTAAGATGTCATGAAGATGTCTTTCACGAACATCATGTCATAAAGATCTCCTCAAGACATTTGTAAAACGTTTGATGTGGATTCTTTTTGGACATGCATGTTATTTGAGTATGCATTTTAACTAATTCGTGCATCACAGTACTGATCATCAACATAGACTTTGACATACACTTTCTCGTGCGTGTACGTCATCCGCGAAGAGAAAAAAATGCGGCGACATACGGTCGCAGCTTATAACAGCCAATAAAGCTCTTATAGACGTTCAACTTTATGTTCATCGACATGCTGAAGCTTTGTCGCGAGTACCGGAAAAAGTCTCTATTCGCTTTGTCCGTGACATGTTTTCACGCACGCATGCCGCGCGATCTATACTTGTATGCACCGCGCTGCTTTTTACGCGTTTTCTAGAACACCCTCGATCTTCGGGATTTATTTTACGCGGCCTACATAAATGATAAATTGCTAGCAAAGTGGAACACACAGTGCGCAATCGTCCTTCACGAATCAGTTGCAAAATTTCTTTACAATTAACAAAGATCTGATTTCTTTTTTAAAGTTTCTGATGTTTGAAAAAGAATTTCAGGATCATTATAACACGAACTTTCTTACTTAATATTCATATTAATTAACATAAAATTTTTGGTCTTCGTAAATATTTTTCACCAAATAACATTGCAACAGTAATTGATTGTTGTGGTAATACATGGTAAGTTTTTATAATTAAGTTACCTAATAAATTATATTACCTATTAAATTAAGATAATAACTTATTTAAATTTTTTGTCAGAATTTGGCAATCCCGTGTTAACATACAGCGATCAAGAAATAAGATTTAATCTTATGTCAAAAAAATCAAGGAATCAGAATAATTTTCGGATATAAACTTCACTTCGACATCTTAATCGGCATTTTATTATTTAACATCTCGCATTCTTTTATTGTACTGATGATGGCCAAGACTTGGCCACGGTTACATTTTTAATTTTAAATATATGACTTTGGCAAAAAATATCTTGCGTATGCAGCTGTATTAGTTATGCTTCTTCTTATTTATGTTTTAGAATTCCAAGGATTTTCTATTTTTTATATTTAATTGTTAGAGCTTTTTTTAAAACATTTGGGTCCGATTTTTCATTATTTGATTAACCTGTGATTAAGCTTAATCTAATATTTTATCCAATGGTATTTATGATATCATCCTAAATGAAGCCCATTGGATAAAACATCAGGTTAAGCCTAATCGCAAGTTAATCGTGCCATAAATATATATAATGAAAAATCGTGCCATAAAGTTAGAAATTTATCAATTGAGGTATCCGGGATCTTGTATGACTTAACTAAACAATTTTTTCTAATTCTTTTCTATTCAAAATTGAAAACTGATGATCAAAAGAAGAAACATTTGAACATTAAAAAAATATATGACTTTTTTATAGAAAAATATCAGAAAAATGAAACATAAAGTAATTCAAGTGTTCCAGTGTTGCTTTTATAAGATTATTAAAAAAGATATACTGATATGTAAGAATGCACGAAGAACTGTTTTCCATACAATTGACTTATTTATTATTATTTTCACAATTTTTAGCAGGTAAATTAGCAGGTAACTTAAAATTCAATTTGAAATAACAAAATCCAGGATTTGGAATAATAAAAAAAACGTTACAATTGATGCATGTACGTTCAGTATAATCTAGGGGTTAACTATATCAAGAGACACTGGTAGTGTCTTGGCGCAAAGTCACGCGTTAGTTCTACTTTGCAAAGTTTTTCTCTCTTTAGTTATAAACAAAAATATAAACTAAATACTTTATTCTCAATACATATATTACATGATAAATACAAAGCTACAATAAAATGTATTACTAACAATCATCTCTTGATAATTATGGAAAGCAATTACTTACTACGTAATAGTTTTCAATTTTGGACTTGACAAAAAAATAACAAAATATTACATCGTGATCACAATGTTCTACATTTTGTTTTACTAACAATAACCAACTGAAGAATGAACCAACTGAGCAATAAATTAATGCAATCGAGTCAGATGGACAATCTGCATGCATACTTTATTAATGCTATTTGGTAAATTCATTGTATAATTACTCACAAACAGTAAGTAGGTAGGGCATATAAAGTGAGCACTAGGTCACATAAGTTATATCGAAATTAAAAGTTATATGAAAATGGCGCTAGCTTCACCGAAATGTGTAATCAATATTTATGCTTATGAAGAGTAGATATATCGCAACAAGTTTCTTTTGGACTTGAGACGTACGCGTGCAAAATTATTATATCAATCTAAAATTATTCTTATTTTCATGTTATGAAGCAAACGTGTGTGTGTGTGTGTGTGTATATATATATATATATGTACATTATTCATGACTTAATTAGCTAAGGTTAATTGATTTAAATCGATTTAGATCCCTTTTATAAACAATTTTACACTTTACGCAATCCTCATAAAAATGCAATATCGTGAAATGACGTTGAAGTTTCGCGAGGCTTCTCAAAGTGGTCAATTTATTTTTAAGCATTAACAAACAAGATCTGCAGAAGCAGATAATAGCGCCTATTTTAATCCTATTTTATGCTTGGAAAATATTAAATTGAACAGTTACCAGTAGAGTCGCCTAGCCAATAACCTGACTATATAAATGGAATGTTTCATGAAATGCCACATCTATTCTTAGCACAAATTTTGAAGAATTTGCTAATTCTTTGGCTTTTTTAGCAATTCTAATAACAAAATAAAGTCTGCACATCCTTGCCACTAATCTTCGATTACACCTTTAGCTTGTATTTCTTTATACTTATTCGATGTTTTCTGACGCGCATCGCGATCAATGAGAATTCTTGCCCTCGTCCATGATCGTAAACAATAGAATGAAAAAGCGCATCTCTCGTACCAAACGGTGTGTCCTCGACCGATCGTTCCTACCCACCCTTGAACGTGAGTTAACGTAAGCGTTTACATGTCGCGCAACTAAAAGGTGAAGGACTATGACGGCGAGATCGAGTCGACGGATGCGACGACGCGTCGAGATACCGCGAGGACAACGACAGTGTCCAGGGGCAGCGAAGCAGATGGACAGCGCAGATACTCGATGCAGGAGGTCGAGGAAGACGATGATGGCGGTGGTAACAACCGCAGGAAACGAAAGAAGCGACGGAAAACGCAGCGGAACAAGCAGCAGTTGCAATTACAACAACCGCAGCTGGAGGTAACGACTAGCGGCGGTCTGCAGCGATCGCACGCGCTCGCTCTCGCTTCGTCGTCCGATGAGGTGGAAGCGGTGGGCGAGTGCTCGAAGAGAGACTCGTCTAGCAGCCTGGGCGGCGGCAGCCGGCACAACACCTTGCGCGAGTCTCTGCTGACGGTGTTGGGCAAGCTAGTGATTTGGAAGGGCACTAGATACCGCTCCGCTACCGCCGCGTCGTCCTCCTCGTCGGCGCCACCGAATTCACCACCCGCCACCGAGTGCATTGGTCGTAGCACGTCCTTCTTCTCCAGTGGTGAGTTCCCACGAACGAGATCATCGGATAGTTTTCTATAGGAGTTGCACTGTTGGCTTGAGTCAAGGTTCCAGACGTTGCGATATGCACTTATAGTTGAACCTGTCAAGGCAGATTTTTTTAATCACTCACGATACGATTGTCGATATGACAATTTTTTTTACTCAGCGATACTAAATGCTCAGCGATAACATTTTATGATATTTAATAAAGAATACAAATAAATTGATATAGTATTAAAACATAATACTATTATGTATCTTATTTTGTGTTATGGGAAGAATAAACGCGAGCTTCCTTGACATAGTCATGATTTGACATCGATCGTGCGCATGTTCCATTTAACTAACATACCGCATTTATGTTTATGTCATTTTTTATTTTGACCGAAATCCATCGCAAACAATAATGAGTGCATACACAAACTATGGATACGGCGATCAATATTACTAATTTTAGGTGTAATGCAAATTTTAGCGACTTACATACTTTGTATGACTGACCAAGGCTCCGCACCTTGGACACTTGAATGACTTATTAAATTCCATAAATAAGCAAACGGAGTATCCAACACCCACGTAGTTTTCATGAACACGTGACGATGGTGCCTACTACGCAAGGATCGATTCGATCGTTTTTCATAGTAATGCCAATATTGGATTTCGCCACAATTCACATGACGAGCCAATTAATATTAAAAGTTTATCCAGTTATGTGGAACTACACATACACACTCAATATGTACACACACACGCGCGTGCGTGCGTGCGTGCGTACGTGCGTGTGGTGTGTGTTCAGGGTGTCCCATTTTTAATGACGATCTCAAATTTCTCTTGATTAGTGCATTTTAGAAAAAAAATATTTCAGACAAAAGTTTTATGACTTCGAGGAGGACATAAGATAGTATTATGAGTTTATCCTTGGGTGGCGATGCCAAGGTTAGGTCAAGGTCATATCGATTTTTTTTTATGGAACACTCTTGATTCCAGAATCTAATAGCTGTTCAGAACTTCTCAAAACGCTATAAGAAAATATTTTTTATTAAGTACTTTTTGAATTATGATGCTTGAAAATACTGCACCTCTGTGAAGAGCTGGTCCCACTTTCTCCAAAAATTGAAAAAATAAGTAGAGTTCTGGTTACCTCCCAAGAGTTCTAGAGTTCTCTATCAATTTTAAAAATAATTCCATCTATTAAAGGGGTGAAAACACCATTTGAAGTATCGGAAGACAACTTCATGATTCCGAAATTTTGAAGGGCTATAATTTCTTAACGGTTTATTTTAGCACTTTTATCCATATAGGACAATCGATAGAATTCTTGGGGGAGGGGGGGCAGAATTCTAAAGAAAGTACTGGATTTCCGAAAAAAATTTTTGACCTGTGTGAACTTGGAAAAATTTTAAAAGTTGAAACTTCAAAGCCCTAAAACTTTTTAGATATCGGTTTCAACGCATTGATTATTAAGGATAATCATTAGAATTCTTGGGAGGGGGGGCGCAATCAGAACTCTAAAGAAAATATCGGATTTCCGAAAAAAAATGTTGATCTGTGTGAACTTGGAAAAATTTCAACTTTTGACTTTTTCAAGGCGCTATAACTTTTTTATTTGCGATCTCAGCTGTTTTATTATTAAGGATAATGATTAGAACTTTTTGGAGGGCTCCCCAATCAGAATTTATAACAGAATGCCGGAAATCTAAAAAAAAATTTTTTTTTAAAGTTAATTTTTTTGAAATTTTGGTCCGGAAATCCGGTATTTTCTTGAGAGTTCTGTTTGCCCAAAGAGTTTTATTGATTGTCCTATATGAATGAAAGTGCTAAAATGAATCGTTAAGAAATTATAGCCCTTCAAAGTTTCGTGAAGTTGGTCTCTCCCCCCTCCTCTCCCCCATACTTCAAATGATGTTTTCACTCCTTAATCGACGGAACTATTTCGAAAATTGATAGAGAACTCTAAAACTCTTGGCGGGGGCAACTAGAACTCTACTTATTTTTTCAATTTTTGAAAAAAATGGGACCAGCTTCACAAGAGGTCAGTACTGCCAGCATTAGCATTAGGTACGCGAGGTGTTTGAGCGACGGCTAAAACCTCTTGAATGTTGTTCAGGATCATATCCTGGATAACATTTGTTGAGATCAAGGTCATTGGAGATTTCTCTTATTTTCATTTTTTCACTAAAAATTCATTTTTATATAAAAATTAAAATAAGAGAAACAATCTCCAAAGACCTTGATCTTAACGAATGTTGTCCAGGATAATCCTGAACAAAATTCAAGATATTTTAGGCGTCGGTCGGACCTTGCGTAATGCTAATGCCGACGATAACATTCAAACATAACTCAAAAAGTACTTAATGAAAAAATATTTTTTTATAGCGTTTTGGAAAGTTCTCGAGCTATTATTAGATTCTGGAATAAAAAATAGGGTTCCATTTTAAAAAATCGATGTAACTGACCTAACCTTGGCAACGCCACCCAAGGTCAAACTAATAAGATCAGTAAATAGATCTTTTTGAACCCTACGACTTTTATCTGAAATATTTTTCGGTAAAACTTATATTTTTTGAGATATTCAAATGTCCCAATCTTTTTGGGACACCCTGTGTGTATACAGGATATTCGAAAATTCAACTAACAACGCTCGTGGGCAGGTAGAGCAAACTAAACTGAGTCGAAAACTCCTGTACCATTTTGCAATTTTCCCAATAGTTAACAAGATATTATTTACTAAATATCGCTGAATATTGATTTTCACAAGTTTGCTGTAGAGTTGAAAAACCGGAAAAAATCAAGGAAATTGAAATTGGTCATGGGAACCGGTCACAGAAAAATGTATTATAAAAAATCTGGAATTTCTAAATTTGCTCACTCAATTTCCTGAAATTACTCCAAATAATTGTTATGTCCAAATTATATGTCCAAATAATTTTTTAAATATTATATCTGACATTTATAGTCAAATATGTTTAAAACTTGTGCACTTTAAATGATTTTAATAAAATAATTAAAATTTATATTTTATTTAGTATTTTTATTTGATCCTTCTTTTTCATCATAATTGTATACTTTTTTCCAAAACTAATTTATTTTTTACTGGCTTGAATTTGTACCTAAAAATGTACTATGTTACTAAGTGTTTTTTCCGTTGTTTTTAATATTATAGACTAGCTTTCCTACAATTCTTAATCTAAATGTAAAAGTTTATATATTTTACATTACTCATGGAAAATTTTCCATTTTCGTCTGGAAAAGGAATTTTTTAATTCATTTTCTGTGGCAATCCTGTCTCAATAATTTTTTACTCAAATACTATCTAAAAAAGCGAAAGCAAATATTGTTTTTTTTTTCATAGAGCTCTGAAAATTTTTTCAGAAGTTTTTAATAATTAACTTAACTATTACTATATATGGAAATTTCAAAATGATAGAAGATTTTTCGACTCAATTTAGTCCGCTCTACTTGCCCACGAACGTTGTCAGTTAAATTTCCGAATATCCTGTATATATATATATATATATATATATAAAAATTTTTCTCAGGGTTATAGTTTTTGAAAGTGGTTATAGTTTTCCAAAGTCATCTATTTTTTTTATATGGAATAGCATATTTTTAATGTAGTACAATTCATAAAAAATCAAATTCAATCATATATCATATGTTGTCCTTCAGATGACTTTGGACATAAAAGAATCACATTCATATGGGAAAAAGAAGAATTAATATATTAATATATAAGTGAAGATATTATATTATAATATTTATTTGATTTATTTATTTTAGTTCAAAAGATGTTCGAAATGATTGCCATTAGCTTCCATATATTTTCGAATGCGATAAATAAATGATTGTTTCGCATTTTCAATGATTTCCGTGTGATTCTGATTTATGTCGATACATGATGATGTGTTCCTTCCACTCTTTTTCCTATAGTATTTTCTCATATCATCAAAAAACAACAGAGATATTTTAAATGATCAAGATAGAGGAAACATCTCTGCATATATATATATAAGGGTGTTACACCACACACACACACACACACACACACACACACACACACACACACACACACACACACACACACACATAAAACACACACCACACACACACACACACACAGAGTGTTTATATACCCAAAATTCGCGCATTTGAAGTACAGGACATTATATTTTATGTTAAAACAAACAACTTTTTCCATTTGCAAAATTACAATAAATAATTTTTGCGCTTATTTGTTAACACATATATAAAACAAGTGAATGTAAAGTAATACATTTAATTATATGACTGATTAGCGAAAAGCTGATTAGTGAAAATATCTATTTCACGACTGTGAAATTGTTATTTTTATTATTCTTGTATATGTGCGAAACATAGAAAATAATAGATAATTAAAATAATTTTGTTGTTTGTCTAATTGCTGTGTAAAAAAAACGTTTTTCTTCTTTAGTATCTTATTATTTATCTTCCTTAGTATTTAATTGTTTATTGCAACATCCCGTATTATTAGAACACGACTTGAAAATGACAGGCATTATACATATAATAGTCTACCATATAATCTAATAAGAATCATTGATTACATTCTTGCACACACATACACACACGCGCGCGCGCGTGCGCGCGTATATGTGTGTGTTTATATGCATGTGTGTGTGCGCGCGTGCGTATATAATATACACACACGTATATATACACGTAAAAAATTATTGAAGACCAATTTTCGGCAATTTTTAGCAATTAATATCTTATTAACTATTGCTAAAATCGTAAATATGGCAGAAGACTTTTCTTCTCAGTTTAGTCCATTCTGCCCCCCTGCGAAAGATTTATCATTATTTTCCAAACACCTTGTATATAAGGTCAACCGATGTGACGAAAAAACGCAAAGTTGGAATTCAACAACGTTCTATTTTCCTAATTTTTATTTTTGTATTTAATTCTTATACGAATAATTATTTGAAAGCTTTTATTATTAATAAGAAAATGTTAGTAACCGAAATTATTTCTTGTTTATGTATAAAAATAAATTTTCTAACCTCAATCATATAGTACCCCATATAGCAGGATAGTATGTGACAGTCTAAAGTCTAAAGATTGCGACAATGACGAGATTTTATTAAGATATAAATGAGATCTATTGTAAGGAATGAATAAAAAAAACATTAATAATAATTACAAAATGCAAACGGTATTCATTTTTATTATTAAAATATATTTAATCAATAAAAATGAACATGTCTTTTTAACATTTAATGTATTTTTTCGTTCATTATATATAGATAAGCAAAAATATAGGAAAATTCTTATCACAAATAAAACTTTCTTTTCCTTCGGAATACAGTTTCGCGGCAAGATCTGTAAAATAATTAAATATTTACTACCAAACCTTATAATACACCAAAATTATTTATTTTATATAAGATAACATTGAAAGATAAGGAAATATCACAAGAAAATATGTTTAAGGTTTTCTTATTTATAATTAATTATTTAAAATTGTTACAAATCATTAACATGAAATTTAATATTCATTGGATAATGAAAACAGATTATGAATATTATTGTTGTACAAATATAGTACTAATTATCCAAAATATAATATTTAAATTGTACTGACATAAAACACAGGCCTATAAAAAAAAGTACCCTGTACTGGGGTGGAAACTCAGCTATTCTTATGTATTTTGAATCGCCGAATACGAATCTGACATCAAAATAGGAGCATTCAGGGTAAATTTTCAATCTAGAGCGAAAAAATGATCCATTTTTCCCATTTTTGACCTATTTTTTTGCTCTAGCAAATTTAAAAATTTACCCTGGATGTCCCTATTTTTATGTCAGATTCGTACTCAGCGACTCAAAATATATAAGAATAGCTGGGTCTCCATCCCAGCACATGATACTTTTTTTTGTAGGCTTGTATTATTAACAAACGCACAATCATTAGTATTTCAACGTATCGCATTCGTTATAACGGGCAAGCCATTACTTAGCGCAATCGCGCGCGAAGCATCATGATTTCCTCGATACTTATCGTCACAATTATGCCATACATTGAATTGACAGTTGTAATTGTGATGTTCAATTAAAAAAGTGCATATATAATGCTATTAAATGTACTGTAATCTTGACAAAACATTAATTTAGAATAATAGTAATCTTAAAGAATATCATATTTAAAATAGCTCCATCTGAAAAAGAATTGACTTTGAATAGATATCTGCAAACTTCGATAACCTAACTTTTTTTACAACGCTGTACGGATTTGATAATTATTATATTAAAAAATTTTTATATTTAGGAAAACTTGTGTCAATTTAAAGTAAAATTACCGTTGAACATAGAATAATATAAAAAGTCTTTTTGAATTTTAATACATAAAACTAATCATCGTCGCAATTATCCCACTATCACAGTTACCCTGGTTGACCCTATATATAGTGCGCGCGTGCGTGCGTGCGTGCGTGCGTGCGCGCGTGCGTGCGCGTGTGTGTGTGTGTGTGTGTGTGTGTGTGTGTGCGCATGCGTGTGTATACTACATAGATACCAATATACAGAGATACACAATAAATGTTTCACACATTTATTGTATCATTTTTACAGAAACAGAGAGGCGAATTCGCGCCAATAATCGCGAGTACAACTCACAATTTAATTATGCGGTAAGACAAAACCCATCTTCTTACTTTAAGTGTTATTAAATTTGAAATTTAAATTTAAAAATTGTGTTAAGGAATGATATATTGTTAGAAATTTAATATACAACGTATTTCTATTGATATATAAACGTATTTCTATCGATTTGCAGAATAATTACATCAAAACGTCCAAGTATTCGGTTCTGACGTTCCTACCATTGAATTTGTTCGAGCAATTTCAGCGGCTCGCTAACTTTTACTTCCTATGCCTGTTGGTGCTCCAAATGATCCCCGCCATATCTTCTTTAACCCCTATCACTACAGCCATACCGCTTATAGGGGTACTCACGCTCACTGCCGTTAAAGATGCCTATGACGACTTTGTAAGTATCCTATGATCAATGATCTTATTTTTTCCTACATTAATAAAAAATACAAATATACTATATTAAACTAAATATATAAACTTGAATGTTTTTTAAAAAAATATTTAAATAAAATAGATTTTATAATATATACATATATAAAATAGAGATTTTATATAGAAAGCAGAATGTGATCCGCGAAAAAATTAATAATACAATGTAACTTTCAGCAACGGCACAGCAACGACTCTCAAGTAAATAATAGAAAATCCCGAACATTGCGGGGTACTAATCTTCGTGAGGAAAAATGGTCGCAGGTTCAAGTGGGCGACGTAATCAGAATGGAGAACGATCAGTTTGTCGCAGCGGATGTTCTACTGCTAACGACGAGCGAGCCGAATGGCCTTTGTTACATCGAAACAGCAGAATTGGACGGGTACTTTTTTATATTATAAAAATTATTCAATTACGCGCTTTAACCGAATCTGTGAATGCAATCTATAAAATTTGTGTAGGGAGACGAATTTAAAGTGTCGTCAATGCTTGCCTGAAACTGCCGAGATGATGGATAATCACGAATTAATCGGCCAATTCGATGGAGAGATCGTTTGCGAAACCCCCAATAATTTATTAAATAAATTCGATGGAATACTAACATGGAGAGGAAAAAAGTAAGATTAATATTATAAATAAAGCAGAACGAGAGCCAGATAAAAACAAAATATTTTAATGCTACAGCTTCTTAGAGAAGCTAAAAATATGTGATTCTCGCTTTGCTGCGTTAAATTTACTTAATCACTAGTTAGCAGCAATATCGACGTTACATCATAATATTTCGCAACTAATTGCAGGTACTCATTGGATAACGACAAGATTATTTTACGGGGCTGCGTACTTAGGAATACGCAGTGGTGCTATGGCATGGTGATCTTTGCGGGCAAGGATACCAAACTGATGCAAAACTCAGGGAAGACCAAATTTAAGAGGACCTCTATAGATAGATTGCTGAATCTTCTTATCATCGGGATAGTGTTTTTTTTACTTTCCTTATGTATGTTCTGTATGGTCGGCTGTGGTATTTGGGAAAGCCTTGTAGGTCGTTATTTCCAGGCGTACCTACCATGGGACTCGTTAGTGCCGAACGAGCCGATTACTGGTGCCACAGTGATTGCCCTACTCGTGTTCTTTTCGTACTCTATTGTATTGAACACGGTAGTACCAATCAGTTTATATGTGAGTGTCGAAGTTATTCGATTTGTTCAGTCATTTTTAATAAATTGGGACGAAGAAATGTACTATGCGCCCACAAAAACACACGCTAAAGCAAGGACTACTACGTTAAATGAGGAGTTAGGCCAAATAGAATACATATTCTCCGATAAAACCGGAACGTTGACGCAGAATATAATGACTTTCAACAAGTGTTCTGTGGCGGGCAAGTGTTACGGCGACGTCATTGATGAAGTTACCGGCGAGGTCATCGATTTGAGCGAGGTGAGTCGTTCTTTCATTGATGCAAAGATTCCTGACTCGATGCTGGTGACAGGGTATGTGCTACAACATAAATTTTCACGTTATTAACAAAGTTGTATATATATTTAAAATAAGATAAATACGTTATCCGTATTATATTAGCTGTGCTTTTAATGCTGCGTGAAAAAAATATAATATTCTTATGCTTCCGCTGAAAATTCTTTGTTATTGTATGGTGGGGTTATGCATTTTTACATTTTATATGTTATTTTTTTTTTATTACAATCTGTACTCTATTTTATTATGAATTAAAGCTGATAAACAGTGTTCAAGTAAAAAGCTATAGAAACATCTGTTTTTTCCTTCTTGCCATCGTTTAGTAAAACATATTAAAAACTTGTTTACATTAAAATGCAATTATCATTAAAAATATCCTTATATCCATGCGTGATTTGTTGAATATTCCTGAATGTTTATAGTAACGTGATTCCTTTTTTAATCATACATGATAATTCTCTTTAGTTACATATAAATATGATTTCGATTTGTGATCGTATCTTTGCAAGAAACTTCATACACATCACTTTAGCATGTGTGTGCTGCATGTAGACGGACAGAGCTGTTCCAACGGCGACGATGAATGTAAGACTTCTGGAACAAGCAGACAGGGTGTCTAGTACAACACCAGAACCCGGCATCAACGGCAGTCCACACAAGTCTTCAGTACGCATGCTGATAATTAGCACCTTTTGTCACCAATTTGTACACGCTATCGCTTTTATTTGTATATCCTGTTGTTCGAATCGTATATATCATATTCATTATTATCTGTTTAGCGTTGTAACTTATCACATATAATGTCATAAGTAATAGAAGCATTTCTGTTATCTTTATTACGCTCAATAAATGTATTCGTAGTGTTTATGCTTGTTAGAACTTTATACTATGCTATAAACTATAAATAAATAAGCTACACTTATTTCTTATATCATACAAATATTAAGCCTAATTTCTTTCATAACTAATTTTCTTATAATGTATATACTTTGACAAAGTTACAACTACTAGTATATAATCCAATTCTTCCATCAAATCTATTTTTATGGAAACAAGGTACATTACTCAGATAATCTAGCTTTCCGTTTAGCTTTCTTACCTTTCTTTTTTAATAACAGCGGATTTCTCGATCTCTGCAAATTAATAAGAATAATAAGATTAATTTTCTTCCACATTAACGTGATATGCCAACAAAGTGCGAAGTTTCTGAAAAATCATCGTACATTTTTACAGACAATGCCACCTTTGGATTTCTCGTTTAACAAGGATTACGAACCAGATTTCAAATTCTACGATCCCGCGCTGCTCGAAGCCGTGAGACGGGAAAATCAAGACGTCCACAGTTTTTTCAGACTGCTAGCACTTTGCCATACTGTTATGCCGGAAGAAAAACATGGCAAGATTGAATACCAAGCACAATCGCCTGATGAGGCTGCCTTAGTATCTGCAGCTAGAAACTTCGGTTTTGTTTTCAAAGAGAGATCGCCCAACAGTATAACGATTGAAGTAATGGGAAAGAAAGAGATATATGAACTTCTCTGTATTCTGGATTTCAATAATGTGCGAAAGAGGATGTCTGTAATTTTAAGAAAAGATGGACAGCTCCGATTGTACTGCAAAGGAGCAGATAACGTTATTTATGAGCGATTGAAAAAGGATAGTGAAGAGATAATGGCAAAAACATTGGATCATCTAAATAAATTCGCAAGTGAAGGCTTAAGAACACTGTGCCTTTCTGTAAGGGATTTAGACGAAAGTTTTTTCAATAATTGGAAGCAACGACATCAGGAAGCGGCGTTAAGTCAAGAGCGTAGAGACGATAAGCTGGATGCGATTTACGAAGAAATAGAGAAAGATATGTCGTTATTGGGTGCTACTGCCATCGAAGATAAATTACAAGACGGTGTACCTCAGACCATCGCCAATCTGAGCCTCGCTGGTATCAAACTTTGGGTGTTAACTGGTGACAAACAAGGCAAGTTTAAAAAGTATATAAATATGATAAGGACGAAAAAGCTTGTTCGTATTTGTAGAATAATATTTTCACGTCAAACTTTTTACTCGTACAGAAACAGCTATCAACATTGGATACTCATGCCAGTTGTTGACGGATGATCTCACGGATGTCTTTGTGGTAGACGGCACAACTTACGATAGCGTGGAGTCACAATTAATGCGATATTTGGATACCATTAAGATGGCCTCGACCCAACAGAAACGGCCAACTCTCTCCATTGTCACATTCAGGTGGGACAAGGAAAGGTCAGGCACATGAAAGAGACGGAGTACAATCTATCAATTTCTTCTATTGCTGATTCTAATTAACGCATTCTTAAGAAAGGAAAGGAAAATTATTTCTCACACTGAATGTGGCACTATGTTTCATGTAATGCTTTCTATGTCTATACATATAGTCTTGCCTAAAAACGTATCATATTAAAGAGAACTCGTACGCTTTATATTCAAGCTAGCGAATCTCGCAACGCAGTTCAAATTAAAATTATTTTATAAGAATGGAAAAACGTTTTTACATAGAGTATAGAGGTATTTCGGATGATACAAGGATGCAACAATTGTATTTTGCTAGTAGCTTGATTCTTCGTACGTGTATTGGTTTATACATATCCCATTTTTTCTATTTATCCCTCGCGACATCCGACTTTGGAATAATGATCTGCATGCACATGATAGTACTTATACCTTCTGTATTTAAAAAGCATTACAAAAAAATTATTTTTCATTTTTTCCAATTATCTTCTTCTCAAAAATATCAATACCAGTTCTTTTTTTTTTATAAAATAAAACAACGTGGCTAGAGTGGTAGATTAGATCTGCCTTTTTAAATCACTTCAGATATTTTTCAGATATTTGCATATATTATATCTGAAATATTCTACGATTTAGTAATATAATATAATATTTAGTAATATTATAGTTATAGGTAACTGAGATTTACTATGATGCTTGATACTCACTCCTTCTCTTTCTGTATGCTTAATAATTAATCTTAGTGATAATATTAACACAATTGGTATGTTTGTGTCACGTTCTTGTATATAGTTATTAATACAATGCACTGTGTATTGTTTAGAATTAACGTGCATCATTTCTTAATGGCGAGAGAAGATAATTTCAAAATTTCCTGTCATTTCGTTAATGATCACGATTTATTATCTTCGGTTCAATTTTTGCTATAATTGTGTTTGTTATAATTGTGGACTAAATAAATTTTAGAGTTGAATTTATTACGTAAATACCGGGCGATCATTTATATGGGAAGCGATTCTTTTGCTTGAAAACATATTTTCTCTGCACAGCAGTGATACCGAATACAATCCTAGTAGGGACGAACAGGATGAACACGAGATGGAGCAGTCAACGGGATTTGCAGTAGTTATAAACGGACATTCTCTGGTTCACGCGTTACATCCACAGCTGGAACAGCTTTTTCTAGAAGTGTCCAGTCAATGTAAGTCAAAATTGATCACATCATGTTTAAAAACAATTATTCAACAGCTCGAATTTTTTGCAGGTAAAGCTGTAATATGTTGTCGGGTGACGCCATTGCAAAAGGCGATGGTCGTTGAGTTAATTAAAAAAAATAAATTTGCGGTGACACTCGCAATTGGCGATGGCGCCAACGACGTTTCGATGATAAAGACGGCTCATATTGGTGTTGGTATCAGCGGGCAGGAAGGATTGCAGGCGGTGTTAGCCTCTGACTATTCGATAGGACAATTTAGATTTTTAGAGAGGCTACTTCTGGTCCATGGTAGATGGTCGTACTATAGAATGAGTAAATTCCTTAGGTATTTTTTTTACAAGAACTTCGCGTTCACTCTTTGCCATATCTGGTTTGCTTTCTTCTGCGGATTCAGCGCACAGGTAAGTTCTTCAAAAACTTCACGTTGCCGTATTATATTAATATGAAAATAATAAAAATATGATGTTTCGAAGGCGAATATTATTCATAATTTTCCTTTGTAAGAGCTTGCTCCAAAGTTGAAATTTTGAATGTGTATTTAATTATTCTTCTGATATATTGTAAAAAATAGCATAAAGTAAATTGCACTGCACAATTAAAGTTGCAATTATTATCTTCCACATTTGTTTTCTTACAGACTGTATTTGATCCCATGTACATTTCCGTCTACAATTTATTTTATACCTCATTACCAGTCTTGGCGGTTGGTATTTTCGATCAGGATGTTAACGATAAGAATAGTCTAATGTATCCGAAATTATACGCACCAGGATTACAAAATTTGCTCTTCAACAAAAAGGAGTTTTGTTGGAGCGCTTTACATGGATTTTATGCTAGTTGTGTATTATTTTTAGTACCTTACGGTAAATATTTTATATCTATACTTATTAAAAGAATGTTAATGTCTATTCTTAAATTACAGCAGATTTACAAACACACATATCTTATGTATTTCAACAGGGACATACAAGGATGGGGTGTCACCCAAGGGTTATGTACTTTCTGATCACATGCTGCTGGGCAGTGTAGTAGCCACTATATTAGTTATAGTCGTGACTGTTCAAATAGCTCTCGACACATCATATTGGACAGTTTTCAATCACATTATGGTGTGGGGCTCGCTCATCTGGTATTTTATTTTAGATTACTTTTACAACTTCGTCATAGGAGGTAGTTATGTCGGCAGTCTTACGATGGTATGTATTATGACAAATTCTTATTCATATTCTTCGTTGCAAGTATTTGCAATACTTTTAATCATGGTGTTAGGGATAACATGATGTGCTCAGTTTGCAAGCATTTCTCTCTCTAAATCTCCGTCGTCTCTGCCTATGAATGTCGCGTAAGGGGAAAAGGCTGCCAACTGTGAAACGCTAAATGTGGAGCGATATTCATAATCCGTTTTTATTTTAAAACCGTCTTAAATAATGCCTTAAGATGCTAATACAGTCCTTGGATTGACTTATGATCTTAAAATTGTATTTAAGACAGTTCTAAATGTAAGAATCAACTATGAATACCGGCCTGTTTCACATGAAATTGGTACTGAATCTTTCCTTGTTTAATACACTTTATGTTTCTATAGAATGATTCTTACATTTAACACTGTCTTAAATACAATCTTAAGATGTCATAAGTCAATCCGAGGATTATATTAGCATCTTAAGACATTATTTAAGACAGTTTTAAAATAAAAACGGACTATGAATATCACTTAGCGTTTCACAGTTGGCAGCCTTTTCCCCTCACACAACATTCTTAGAGAGAGAGAGATGCTTGCAAACTGAGCACACCATGTTATCCCATTATAATTTATGTTTGCAGGCCATGTCAGAAGCGACCTTTTGGTTCACTACAGTGATATCCTGTATAATTCTGGTAATACCAGTACTATCATGGCGATTCTTCTTCATGGATGTTAGACCGACACTGTCCGATAGAGTCAGACTGAAGCAGAGACTGGCACAATTGCGTTCTCGTCAAAGTCAGGACATATTACGTACACCATCTACGAGACGTACACGGCGATCTTTACGCTCAGGCTACGCCTTCGCTCACCAAGAGGGTTTTGGCAGACTTATCACGTCTGGAAAAATTATGCGCAAATTGCCAAATGGTGCTGATTTTAAGTTTTCTATGCCGTTTACGAACAATGTTACGAAGCAGGTTAATGTTGCTACAACATCACCAAAGGACAACAGCGCATCTAGAAATTCACATACGTTGGACACGATTAATTTATAATATCTCGAATGTTTTAGTCAACTCAACGGACACTAAAGTGTAGATAATTAGTGAGGTTCTCTTAATTTACTTAGCTGAACATTGAGCCAAAATGAACTCGTCGAATTTATTGATTCTGGTGTATCCCATTGAAATCGTGTTTCTAATTATTGTTTCTTCTTTTTTGTGTTAATTAAGAGGTGCAAGTGTATTGTATGTAGTATTTGAGAAGATCTCGTGAAGCATTGATGTCTGTGATTATGTTATATTTAATTTAAACATTTATTTATTTAAGAAAAATGTTAATCAATTAGAAACTATTACGATTTATAACACATGCCTATAAACAACGATAATAATATTAAAACACAAATGTATGTAACTTTGTTAATACATTTAACGCAATGAATTCCAGTGGGATACATTGAGTTATACTATAATAGAAGTAGCATATGCTATTTACGTCTATACATCACTGTTAAGCATTTATAGATTTATTATGACTTAAATGTATTTACGTGTTCAATATTTTAAAAATCATATTTTTGCACTTTAGTCAAGTAAGTGCACGAAATATACATACTTGATTTAACATTTTGTTGACACAATGGTTATGTACGTAAATGATGTTTTATGATAATTATATACTTGTATAGAAAAATAGCTTATGCTACAATATAGACTACGATATGTTTTATGGAATTTCGTATTAATATTTTAAATTATGTGAAAATAATCTTTTATCATGTTGTGAATAATTTTTTATATTGTGTTTGATAAAAGTTGAAACATGATAATTACGCATCTTGATTCTATATATTAATATAAAACAATGTTAAAGCAAGTATTAATAGAAAATACAGAGAGAGCTATATGTTTTTTATTTCATATAAAATTATAATATTAATTTTCAATCAGTTTGAGCACATGATATGATTTATTATGGAGTACTAAGATATAAAATATTAATTTATAATTTACTACAGAAAGTTGAGATGATTATTTTGTATAATGTACATACTTTAGAAACCATTTTTTTCTTCAATTAAAAACTCTAAACTAATTGGTAAAGTATGTTCTCAGCATTTAATACTATTCGTAATCCTGTGGATATAAATCTCGGTCCATTTTATTAAAAATTATAACACGAAAATCAATAACGATGGAAGAAATAATTTACATTGTCAATAGCACTTGTACATATAATAGAAACATTGCATAGAGGTGTCAAAATCTTGTAATGTCCTATCTTGTATTATATATTATCCCAATATGAACATGATTATTGTAAAAACAAAATGCGTTTACACGATATGATACTAAGAATTATAGTTACATTGATAATTGCCTTTATAAAATATGAATATAACAAACGATTTAAAATATTGTATTATAACATTTTCTGTAAATATTTTAAAGAGATATATATTATATTAAATGTTAAGTATACACATTTTTTAAAAGAAAGTAATATATATATATATAGATAGATCGATTTAAAATAATATGAAAATAGTAGCTATATTGTATTACACTATCGCGGATGAAGTTTGCCTTGGACTGACTATTGAATACATATAATATATATTAAAGCGACAAAAAAACAGTAGTAAAACAATAGAGAATATGTATTTCTACTTTTAATATTACAATGAAATTTAGAGAGAAATAGTTTGTACGGAAAAGATATGTTTCACAAATTATAATTTGAACGGAAAATATTAGAATTTTATTTGCTTTCAAACATCGTGCCTAATCGTCAAACTACACAGTTTCTCGAGCTCCCGTGATATTTCGTTAGTTTAGATTTATATGATGTACACTTCGTTTTCTATGTTAATAACAAACAATTATAAAAAATTAGTGTATTAATTTAACTTGCTAGTTCCAGGCGCAGGCATTCAGTAGTTTATACTGTAGTCTCTTTTTTGTATCACATGATATGCTCATCCAAAGTTTACAATACAAAAGTTGATTTTTTCAAACCAGTTTCTGAAGTCTTTTTTTTGCTTATCATAAAATGTCGATTTTTTTTTGCAAATGTTACATTATTCAAGAAAATAAATTACCATTGATATATGAAATATTAGCATAATTACGCATTTTTCATTTGAATGCTAATTGATGAGTTTTATATAACATATCGATATATCCCATAGTATTTATTACAAAACAAATTTTTATTCTAAAGAAATTTTGTGTTTTTTAAATAAAGTTACTTACAATTAATAAGATATTACTAAATAACTCTTGCATACATGATAAAAATGAAATATTAATAATATAAAAATAATATAAAAATGAACTCTAAGCAAATATATAATTTGGAAGATATATTTATATAAATAAAAAAAAAGAATTGTATATTATTATATACTATATAATGTGGAATTGTATATTTCATTATTGAAACTATATTATACATCTTTTTTATGTATGAATTTCTTTATATATGGAAAGTACGTAAATTTATATAGTCACATAAATGTGCAGATGTAAAAATTACTTTTTTTTTTTGTTGAAAAAAACTAGTTTATATGCGCAAGCATCGCGTTATACCGGTTTTTCAGACCACCCGTACACTTCATTTAAAAATGAGAGAAGTGATTATTTTGAAAAATGTTTCAGACAATAATTGTTGGGGATCAAATAATGCTTTACATGTATGCGATTGACTTTGCGTGACATCATGAAGAAATTTTTTAAATGGGGACCATATCTTTTATTACATATTCTTGTAGCTATCAAGAAGTTTTTGACTGTTTAAAAAAAATCGGTTTTTATGAGACTTCAAAATTTCAGTACGGCTAGCATTAGCATTATCCAAGATGTATTGCGTGGAGGTCGCAGTCAGAGACTTTAATCAAGCACTCCGAAGAGGTGAAAATCCGACCATGAGATTTCCACGCAATGGAATACATCTTGGATAATGCTAATGCCGGTGATACTGAAATTTTGAAGTCTCATAATTCAGAAAAATCTCAATTAAAAAGAATTTGTAACTATAGCATTTCGAAAACGCCTTGAGATGAATTACAAGAATATGTAATAAAAGATATGGATCCCCTTTTAAAAAATTCAAATCGACCTCGACATGACCTTCATGGCGCCACTCAAGGTCAATCACCCATGTAATACATTGATTCCCAACAACTTTCATCTGAAATGTTTTTCAAAATAATCACTTCCCTCGTTTTTAAATTGGGTGCATAGATAAAATATTTGCAAAATTAAATATCAAAATTCTGAAATATTTTGTTATGTGTGCTATATCAGTATCAGAAATATTAAAAATTAAATAATTTCTATTTTAAAGAAGTTAAAAAGACTAAATTTTTTTGTTAACATCTAAATTATGTTGATTCATCACATGTAAAAAAGAGAAATGTATAGATTTTATTTGAAACTTTATAATTAATATTGATGTGCTTACTTAATGTAAGACGAATGAGAATTATAATACGTAATCATAAATTGATGCTTGCATAAACTGTTATAATACGTTATAAGTCAATGTTAAATCAAATTTGGAAACAAATCGTATTTGTCTGCTGCATGTCTCTATTATGTACTAAACATTAACACATACTATAGATTTGAGAAACATAATTTATAAAAATTTCATTAATTTGTATTTTTGTAGCAATTCGTGTTCTATTTTTCTGAATACTTCATTTGTACATGTTTTAAATATTCATTTGTACATGTTTTTTATAAAATATTTGACAATAATATGAACAAATATGATACAGATATGCATTATATTGTTATTATTAAACAATCAATCATATTTCAAAGTAAAGTGTATTTAAAAATATAATATTAATATTTTTTTCAGTAAATGTTGACAATAATGGAAACAACTCCGATGACCTTGACATATGTTGTCAAAGTCATGACCCTGAGTGACCTCCGACAGATTTTATTTGGCAGTCGCTTTTCGTTAAAAAGTTGTTAACAAAAAAAGTTTTAAAAATAACGTTTTATTTCTGCTATACATATATAGTCCCTGCTGCAAATTCCTATGGAGAATTTTCCTATGGGTTTGCCTAACCATAAGTACCCATGAGAAGAGGTTCCTATCTTGCTATAAATTCCCATGGGTTTTTTTATGGGTTCTTATAGAAGACTAAGAGGCTGCGCATAATGAAAGGAATAGGGAATAGGAGACAGAGAATAGGAATTTCAACCTATCAGAAACTATGTATTCCACAATACGTGATTTCTGATACGTAGTAGGTTGAAATTCTTCTCTGTTCTCTATTCCTTTCATTGTGCGCAACCCCTAAGATTCTGTAGGAACTTATATAGTGTAAACAATTGATGACAACAAAGAAAAATATCAGAGCGCTCCTCGTCTCTCCTCCGAGTTGGTAAATTTCCGTCCTGCCCACTGAGCCACACAGCTCTGACACTAATAGCTTCTCTGTTGTGCCTTTTGTGTATTTCCTCTAAATTTTTTACAATAGATACCTATAGAATTTACGCAGCATGTATATATAGAATAACATAGGAAATTTACAAGGTCTTCTACAAGATTTTACATAGGAATCTATGGCATCAGTCCATGAAAAGAGGCTCCTATAGGATTGCATGGGAAAAAGAATAATGTGCACGTTGATGCAATCGGACCTAAATGATAAATAGGATGTCTCGTATTTGGGACTATTTTCATGTGCGGATAAAGTAGATTAAACTGAATCGAAAAGTCCTGTATCATTTTGTAATTTTCACAATAGTTAATTTCTAAAAATTGCCAAATGAGCGGGTAAAATCGACAAGATATCGGCATAAGACAACTTTAAGATATTTTTCAGAGTTCTTTATGACATATTTTAAAGAGTTTTTTCAAAGAACTCTTAAGCCTATTCTACAATTCTGTGCTTTTGTTTTCAATTTTTTGCTTTTTGCTATTTTACATCTTTTTGCTTCTTATTCGATTTTTTGTTTTATATCGCCTGAGATAAGAGTTAACGAACTTCAAAAGAAACAAGAAATATAAATAATAAGAAATACAATTGTCGATAAAACGGTTCCAAAAGAATTAAAAGCAAAAGGTAAAAAACAAGAAACAAAAAGTACATTGTAAAATAGGCTTTAAAAATATCTTAAAGTTGTCATGTGTCGATTTTATTACATTCTGCTCATTGGGTAATAATTGCAAAAATTGCAAAATGATAGAGGATCTTCCGGTTCAGTTTAATATTTAATCCATTCTATCTGCACATAAAAATAGTTTCACATCCAAATATTTTGAGATACCCTGTATAGTCCCTATAATACATATTAGAGTGTGTACGCAAAATGCTATAACAGCCGATTGATGTAATTTCATGTGAAAATCTAAGATAATTTTTCCATATCTCCAAAATTAAAAGTCACGTGATAAACAAAGTATGTTTGATGATTCAAAAAAATCATAACAATATATTGGGTCATCTAAAAAGTATCCGCGGTTTTTTGTCACTAGATGTGTGTTGATGGTCATATATCTAGTGACAAAGTACCGCGGATACTTTTTAGATGACCCAATATATTTTCCTTATGGCAGTCAGGATGTTTTTTCACCCGACATGGAACGTATCTCATTTGTTATCATGGCTTCCAGTTTTTGAGAGTTACGAATTATTCTCTCAAGTTGATATAGGTACTCATAGAAATGCGGAAGAAATCTCATGGGAACTAAAAACCTATAGGATACTACATTTTAACGTACAGGAACATGTAAGTTTACATAAGAATTAGAATATAGGAGATATGCATACGTCATCCTATGATAGCCTAGGCCGGTATTCATAGGGTGCGTTCGGGAAGACGATATTTGAGCTATTTAGTGCTATAAACTGTTCGCGGAGCTGCACT